TGGAGTGCGGCGGCCGCTCCCGGCCACCGCAGCCTCGACCTGCTGGGCTCCGGCGATCCTTCCGCCTCAGCCTTCCGAGTAGCCGGAACTACAAGCATGCGCTACCGCTCCCGGCTGATTTTTTGATTTATTGTAGAGATGAGGTCTTGCTGCCCAGGCGGGTCTCGAACCCGCGGGCTCAGGCAATCCACTCACCTCAGCCTCCCAAAGGCGCGGGATTACAGGCTGAATCACCGAGCCCGGCTTAAAAAACTCTTGTCACTAACAACAAAAAAAAATTGCAGAAGGACTCATAAAATGTGGCCACATCGTCAAAAGTTATATTATTTGCAGGTACGCACAAAGTAAAAATACGAAAACATGCAAAGACATCATAAACACAAAATTCAGGACAGTGAGTATCCTATCCCCATGGGGAGGGAAGGCTTCAACTGTGTGTAATGACTTTTCCTTTCTTTCTTTCTCTGTCTCTTCCTTCCTTCCTTCCTTCCGACAGTCTCAGTCTCTCTCTCTCTCTCTCTCTCTCTCTCTCTCTCTCTCTCTCTCTCTCTGTCACCCAGGCTGGACACAGTTGTGTGATCTTGGCTCACTGCAGCCTCCACCCCCTAGCCTTAAGTGAACCTCCTGCTTCAGCCTCGGGAGTACCTGGGACTTTACAGGCATGCACCATCATGCCCAGCCAATTTTTATTTTATTTATTTATTTTAAATTTTATTTTGTAGAGATGGGATCTTGCTATGTTGCCCAAGCTGGTCTTGAACTCCTGGCCTCAAGTCATCCTCCCACCATGGCCTCCTAAAGTGTTGGGATTATAGACATGAGCCACTACATCCAACCTGATTTCTTCCTTCCTTCCTTTTTTTTTTTTAAGAGCTGGGGTCTCACTGTGTTGCCCAGGCTAGTCTCAAACTCCTAGGCTCAAGTGGTCCTCCTGCTTTAGCCTTCCAAAGTGCTGGGATTACAAGCGTAAGCCACCACATTTACCCATTGGCCTGATTTCTTTTCTTAAGGAAAAACAATCTGACATAAACATAGCAAAATGATAAAATTTAACAAAACTCACATGGGGTGTTATTGTTCTTTACATTATTCCCTAGACTCCTCTGTGCTCTAAATTACCCAAAAAGGGAGGAAGGCAAGTGGATGATGAATCAGGGTGATTTAAAACCCTTTAAAACTGGCTTGGCCATGGTGGCTCACACCTGTAATCCTAGTACTTTGGGAGGCCAAGGCAGAAGGATTGCTTGAGCCCAAGAATTCAAGACTAGCCTAAGCAACACACCAAGACTTTGTATCTACAAAAAGTAAAAAAATTAGCAAGGCATGGTGGCACGCCCATGTAGTATCTGCTATTTGGGAGGCTAAGGCAGAAGGATTGCTTGAATCCAGGAATTCAAGACAAGACCTTGTCTATATTAAAAAATTTGCTGGGCAAGTTGGCATGCATCTGTAGTCCTGGCTACTCAGAAGGCTAAGGTGAGAGGGTTGACTGAGCCAGGAGATCGAGGCTGTGGTGAGTCATGATCATGCCTAGATGACAGAATGAGACCCCCAACTCAAAAACAAACAAACACAAAAACCTGAAACCAAAAAACTCTCTAAAACTCTTCACGCCCTAAAACTCTCCAACACTGAGCAGCTACTGGTAATTCTAAGATTATATGTTATTGAGGTTTTTTGTTTGTTTGTTTGTTTTTTGAGTTGGAGTCTCACTCTGTCGCCCAGACTGGAGTGCAGTGGCCGTTCCCGGCACCGCAGCCTCGACCTGCTGGGCTCTGGCGATCCTTCCGCCTCAGCCTTCCAGGTAGCCGGAATTACAGGCACGCGCTACCACACCCGGCTGATTTTTTGATTTATTGTAGAGATGAGGTCTCGCCGCCCAGGTGGGTCTCGAACCCGCGGGCTCAGGCAATCCACTCACCTCAGCCTCCCAAAGGCGCAGGATTACAGGCTGAGCCACCAAGCCCGGCCTGTTATTGAGGTTTTTAAAAACCAGAACAGCATTCTTAGCCCTGTTCTGTCTGCACTGTGGCCATATTTATTCTCAGTCCATTCCCCTAACACTTTGTCCCCACCTAGCAGTCATACGTGGCTCACTTACCTCAAGGTACTTTTTAACTGAAGATGACTTAAAAAAATGACTCTAAGATATGACTCTAATGGCGAGATTTGGTGTTCCTGGCATTTGCACATTATGTAGCTACTTTGGGCAAGGGTTCTACTTGGGCACAAATAGATAATATGAATCTTAGCAGACCCCTCCTCTGGTATGTAACTGAATCACAACGAAAATCGCAGATGACAGTTGAGATATTGTACTGGGAATCAGGAATGGCGGTAAAAGTTGCAGAAATCTTATCTACCTGTTTATTTTTAACCAGTTCACTGAGTGAGGCTTGTGGCTAGGATTTTTTCATGTATACTTTTCAGAAAACACCCCAAATCACTGCACTCCTTCTGTCTTGAATTCTGTTCATATCACCTTCGTGGACTGTCTATAGGCTCTGGCCCTGGTACAATAAGGGCAAACACAAATTAAAAATAAGAAACTCTTTTTTTTTTTTTTTGAGCCAGAGTCTCACTCTGTAGCCCAGACTAGAGTGCAGTACATGCTCACGACCACCCCAGTGTTGACCTGCTGGTCTCCAGTGATCCTTCCACCTCTGCCTTCCAAGTAGCCGGAACTACAGGTACACGCTACCAAACCCAAGTAATTTATTTTATTTATCGTAGAGACGAGGTCCTGCCAAGTTGTCCTGGCTGGTCTCGAACCCACAGCTGAGCCACCGATCCCAGCCAGCATCTTGCTTTTTAAAAACTCTTAAGAGTTTCTTATTTTTGGCCAGGCTTGGTGGCTCAGCCTGTAATCCCAGCACTTTGGGAGGCTGAAGCGAGTGGGTTCAAGACCAGCCTGGGCAACTTGGCGAGACCTCATCTCTACGATAAATTAAAAAATTAGCCGGTTGTGGTAGCATACACCTGTAGTTCTGGCTACTTGGAAGGGTGAGGTAGAAAGATCGCCAGAACCCAGCAGGTTGCTGCTGGGGTGGCCATGCACATGCCACTGCACTCCAGCTTAGGTGATAAAGACTCCAACTCAAAAGAACAAAAAACAAAAAGCAAGATGCTACTATACATCTATTAGAACGGCTAAAATCCAAAACACTGACAAACATCAAATGCTGGCAAGGTTGTGGAGCAACAGGAACTCTCATTCCTTACAAAATAGGAATGCAAAATGGTACAGCCACTTTGGAGGACAATTTGATGGGGTTAAAAAACTATGTCCACAGAAAACCCTACGTGGGGTTGAAAAATTATGTCCACAGAAAAACCTACATGCACACGGATGCTTTTAGCAGCTTTCTTCATAATTGCCAAAACTTGATCACAACCAAGATGTCCTTCAGTACATCCAGAGAATGGAGAATTATGGAGCCCTAAAAAGAAATGAGCTACTAGGCCATGAAACGACAATGATGAACTCTTAAATGCATATTACTAAGTGAAAGAAGCCAGTCTGGAAAGGCTACTTACTGTCTTAGTTGTTTTGTGCTGCTATAACAGAATACCACAAACTGGGGAATTTATAACAGACAAACAGAAATGTATAGGCTCACGGTTCTGGAGCCAGAGAAGTCTGACATGGAGGTGTTGGCATCTGGCAAGGGCCTTCTGGCTGTGTCACGCTATGGCAGAAAGGTAATGGGAGAGAGAGGAAGAGATCTAACTTGCAGCCTCAAGCTCTTTTATAATCAGCATTAATCTATTCGTGAGGGCTCCACCCTCGTGACCGAAACTCCTCCCAGTAGGGCCATCTCTCAACACTGTTGCATTATTGGGAATTAAGTTTCCAACGCGTGCATTTTGGGTGTCACATTCAAACATAGCAGCTTCATACTGAAGGGTGCAGGAAGCGACCAGAGGGGCGGCTCCCAAAATGGCGCCGACACACCAGACAACAAAGGCCCTAGGTCCCGGCTTCTGTGAGCACAATTCGCCTGCGCGCGCGTGAATTTCAAACCTTCCCCGCTCGCAAATTTCAAACCTGCAAGCCTCCAATCCGTCGCCAGCTTTGTTATGCGTCCAATAGGACTATAACACGGCGTTGGCCCCGCCCTGCTCCCATGCAGCTCCTCCAATAGGAGCATAGCACGGCCCCTTCCGGCCCCTGTCAGGCTGATAAATACAGCCCTGTCCCCGCAACTCTCTCTCGGTCTCTCTTTCTCTCTCTGTCACTCTCTCCCTCTCTGCAGCTCTCTCCCCGCCTCTCTCCCACTTCCTCTCTCTTTCTTACTCTTTCCTTCTCTCTCTTTTCCTTTTTTCCCATTACAGATCCCCTCTGTAACAGCCGCTTTAATAAATCTCTTGGTCCTGGCCGGGTGTGGAGTCATTACTGGCGCCGAACTTCTTTCACATACGGTATATGATTCCAGCTATATGGCATCCTAGAAAAGGAAAAACTATGAAGACAATAAAAAGATGAGTGGTTGCCAGGGGTTCGTAGGGAAGAAGGGAGGAAAAGACAGAGTCCAGGGAAATTTTAGGGCAGTGAAAATATTCTGTATGATACAATAATGGTGAGAACATGGCCATATACTCTAGGAGTGGCAGAACTCTTCCTCCATCTGGGCCTGAGAAATCGACACAAGACAGATTAACAGGAGAAAAATATGCATGTTTCTTTAATACAAGTTTTGGGTGTCATGGGAGCCCTTCTAAGGAAAGGAAGACCCAAAGAAGCAGAGTCAAACACTTACATATGGTATTGGACAAAGAATAGTAAGTTGTGAAAAAGCAACTAAGTTATGTGGGGAGGTTTACAAGAGAAGAGTAATTTTTTTTGTGTGTGTGTGTGTGTTGGAGTCTCACTCTGTCGCCCAGACTGGAGTGCAGTGGCCACTCCCGGCCACCGCGCCTCAACCTGCTGGGCTCCGGCGATCCTTCCGCCTCAGGCTTCCGAGTAGCCGGAATTACAGGCATGTGCTACCACGGGCATATGCTACCACGCCTGGCTGATTTTTTGATTTATTGTAGAGATGAGGTCTCGCTGCCCAGGCGGGTCTCGAACCCGTGGGCTCAGGCAATCCACCCACCTCAGCCTCCCAAAGGCGCGGGATTACAGGCTGAGCCACCGAGCCCAGCGAGAAGAGTAATTTTAACAAGGTCACAACAGAATTCTCAGTCTCTTCCCATCCTATGCTCTTATGTGTAATTCAGGTTCATCTGTGGTGTCAAATGTACCACTCCCATGCTGGATGTTGACAGTGGGAGAGCCTATGCGTGGAGGAGGGACAGGTGGCATCTGGGAAATCTCTGTCCTTTTTGCTGAATTCCACTATGATCCCAAAGTTGGTCTAAAAAATAGTCTATTTTTTAAAATGCGTATTTTTCCCTGCTGAAACTAAAGGAAGAGGCTTACATTCCCTCCTTTTTCTTGCAGAATTTCTTTCTCTATCTTTTTCAAATGTGTGTAAATCTTTTTAATAGCTAAACAAGCCTCTTGCCAATGTAACAACTCAGGAATGTTTTCCTCAAAGCATGGCCATCTCTTTGAAACTTGACATCAAGGAAGATAGCACCCCACCACCCTGTTTCCTGAGAGGACATGGGTTTAAATTCAGCTGTCACCTGACTCCAAATTGCAAAAGGCACCTCCAGTCATAAAGACAGGAGAAAATTAGCAAGTTTATTCTGAAGACCTGAAATAAACAACACGTTGTGTCTACTTGGCTACATAAAAGAGGGAGATTTCTCTCCATCTTTGTGACCTCTTAACGCCCCACTTGTGATTTGGATCACAGTCTGGTTTAATGCTTGTTCAATAATAACATTGTTTTATTTTTTCTTCCACCTTCATGGAGAAGTTTTCTGGGTTGGCAGGAAATGTTTTTAATTATATGTCCCCACGAGGCCGGCGTCCAGAGACAAATGTTGGAATGTGTGGTTTGGCCCGTTTGGGCGCCTGTGTAGGCAGCATGCTGAGCGGAAGGGCCCCGTGGAAGGCGTCCTTGGGTTCAAGGGTGACATGCGGGTCCCACTGCCTGCCCAGTCTTACTTTGACCATCTCCCAGAACACAGGCAAGTTCACTCCTTTGCCCCAAGAAGAATTACATGACCGCCTCTTCCTGGGCCTGAAATGTCTCATCTGTGAATTGGTGATAAAAATATACTCTAAGTCTTGTGGTGGCTGATGCCCGTAATCCCAGCACTCTGGGAAGCCAAGGCGGGAGGATTCCCTGAGCCCAGGAGTTTGAGAGCAGCCTGGGCAACATAGCTAGATCTCCTCTCTGCAAAAATAAAAAAATTAGCCAGGCGTGGTGGCATGCAGCTGAGGTGGAAAGAGCCTGAGCCCAGAAGGTCAAGGCTGCGGTGAGCCATGATGGTGCCAGTGCACTCCATCCTGGGTGACAGAGTGAGACCCCGATTCAAAAAAAAAAAAA